GCATTTTCACCAGTTCCAATTTAAGCTCAAACATTTACCAGGGAGAAAGAACTTCCTGACAGATGCATGCCCCAATATAACAGCGCACGAGCCACAGACTCTAAACCAATGATGGCAGAGTCACAACTGGCAGCACCAGTAACCACAAGAACCCAAGCTAAATTAAAACCACAACTGGACAGCCAAACTGAAATTGAATTCCGGAAAAGTTTGGAAACAGATGAATGGTTCCAGAAAAACAAAAATGTGTGCACAATGAGAGATGGGTTGCCTTGGGTAGGGGAAAAGTTATATATACCAACAACCCAAAGAGTCACTTTCATGCAGCTTTGCCATGACACAAAATCAGCAGGGCATTTTGGATTTGTAAAAACTTTACACTTAATTAAACGGCAATTTTGGTGGCCATCAATAAAAAAGGACATAGAAAGTTATGTAGCCAGCTGCCCAAAATGTGCTACTGCAAAGAGTTGCAGGGAAATCGCCAGGACTATTACAAACAGTGGCAAATCCCTCAGCCCCCTGGAGGGAAATAGCCATGGATTTTATAGTGGAATTGCCAGAAAGCAATGGGAATACTGTTGTCTGGACGGTCACGGACTTGTTTTCCAAACAGGTGCACTTTATCCCTTGCCAAAAGATTCCCACTGCAAAAGCCTTAGCAAAACTTTTCGTCCAGCACATTTACAGATTGCACAGGGCACCCCAACGCATCATCTCTGATAGGGGAGTGCAATTTACGTCTGCATTTTGGAAGGAATTTTTATCCCTCTTAGGGACCACTAAGGGACTGACATCTAGCCATCATCCACAAGGGGATGGACAAACAGAATGTTGTCATTCAGTACTTGAGCAATATTTAAGATGTTTTATTAATTTTCAGCAAACAAATTGGACGGACCTACTCCCTTTCGCAGAAGTTGCTTACAATAATGCAGTCCACTCAAGCACAGGTTACACTCCTTTTCAAATAGGTCAAAGTTTCAACCCCATGCCAGAATTAACCCCAAATGAACCAACGATCCCATCACTGAAAGAATGGATGGAACAATTACAAAACACCTGGCCAATAGTTAGAAAAGCATTAGATGAAGCTAGGCAGGCATACAAAGCACAAGCCGATAAAAAAAGGGTTGAGCCTACACCATTCATTATAGGAGAAATGGTGTACTTATCTACAAAATACCTAAAGTCCCTACAGCCCTGTAAAAAACTTGGACCAAAATATATAGGGCCTTTTCCAATTAAAGAATCATAAACCCAGTAACAGTAGAATTAGAATTACCCAAAAATCTCAGGCAAATACACCCAATTTTTCATTGCAGCTTGCTGAAAAGAGAGCATCAATCACCTCTACGGCCAAAAATCCCCCCCCACCTCCAATCATGGTGGAGGGCGAACAACACTTCGAAATAAAGGAAATCCTTGACTCTAGGAGATATCATGGAGCGACTCAGTACCTAGTTGCCTGGAAACATCTCCCTCCCTCACAAAACGAGTGGGTCCATAAACGTCATGTCAGAGCCCCGAAGCTATTAAAGAAGTTTCACACAGAATATCCTAACAAGCCTGACTAACTTTTATACCTGTTTTGTTTTCTTTCAGGTGGATCTGTCTTTTTTTAAGGGGGCAGGATGTCAGAATCCAATTATATTTCATCTCTAGTTATCAACTATAGAAAACCCCATTTCTGCCTTCCCTGGATTCTGCCATACGGTGAAGGGAAGGGGGTAAACAAAGGGGCTTTATGGCCCTCACTTCTTTCAGTACACTTCAAAGAGACTGAATGTGGATATCGCCAAAAGGGCTAACCATAAGAATGGGGCTATTACCTTTCATGTAGTTCTCGCTGAAATCTCCATCCAGCCGGCAGTAAGGAAAAGGGGGTGGGAGTGTAATGCCTGAGACTGTCACTGGAAGAAGGGGGTGATTGGGTCGGGCTACTGGGGAACCCGTTAAAACCTTGAATGGGAGAGCTTGGACCCCAGGTCCTGTCTAGAACACCTGCAACCATTTTCTCTTAATAAAGGATGCCTGTTGGAAGAATTATTCCAAGAGTTCTGTCTTCTTAAGATGCAAAGTGGGGTGGGTCCTTACAGTATGTTTTAGCTTTCACATTACGTGGAAATGTAAGTTAGGCTAATGTAACGATCTTTTTCTTAAAAAAAATTATGGCTGGCACTATAAATAGTCCTTAACTTAGAACCATTCATTTAGCCACCATTCAAAATTACAACCAGCACTGAAATTCAGACACTTGCCAGGAAGCATGAATTACATCCCCCAGAGTTATGTAATCTCCATCTACAACCTTCCTAGTCAGCTTCTGACAAATTTACAGGGGAAGCCAGATTTGCTTACTCTGCATGATTCACTTAATATCTGCAATGATTTGCTTAACACCTGTCAAAAAAAGTTGTAAAATCAGGCATGACTCAACTATTGCCTTGCTTAGCAATAGAAATTCTGGACCCAATTGTGATAACAAGCCAAGGACTACTTGTATTTCCATTTAATACTCTTGCCAACATATATTTGCAGCCAATTAAGAAATGACTCTTTAAATGGGATTCACTTAAATACATTATTATTTGTTAAATAAATACCTACATTGCTGGAGTTTAACACACAAATGGAAATCAGGTGCTTAGAATGCAATGTTTCTAGTATTTCTTAAGTTCTCAAAAAGCAGGATTTTAACAATTTCCCTTTCAATTTTAGATTTTCTGAGTCACAATGTTATATCAGTTATTGTCAATAACTACCCTAACATTTATTTCAAAGGTGGCTACAAGTAAAAATGCCCTTCTGCAAAACCTGGCACGACTGGACCTAGCTATTGCTTAAGTGTACTTATATCCCCTTAAAAAGTCATATTTTTCATAACAGGTTTGTAAATAGTTTCCATTAAGTAGCAGACCAGATCACCAGATTGCTTCCTTTGCATCCCTCACAAGTGTCTGGAACGGGCCCAGATTTCCAAAGACAAACAAACTCACTTGGGATTCCAGGAACAAAGTTTTATTGAAAGAAAGGTTTTGCAAAGGCTGGTGGTCTTAAACTCACACAGGAGATTAAGCCACACACACAATTTTTAAAACCATATATTTATACCCTCTCATGAAGCTGATTCCCCCACCATTGCACTCACCAGCCCACCTGCTCAACCCGATCAACTAATCCAAAGCTCCTAAACAGAATATATTTCAGTTCATCCCCTCCCGTATACGTTAACGATGACCTTTTGCTGACATTAGCCCTAACTTTATTTTTATATTTCCTCCTGCTTGTGGTTATATCTAACTTCCTACAGAACCTACATATTTCAAAGTAATTATCCTGCATGTGTCAAAGCCCCTACTCCTAAAAGCTGAAGTTACTCCATTTTGCCATTATTAAACTTACTCCTTAAATTTCAGCTGATCTTATTGAATGTCTTCATATGATACTGCCAATGTGTTACTGTTGTGAGTCTGTGCCAGCCAGCTGGGTCCAGGGAATCAGAGGAGGAAGAGGGGTTTGTAGAGCCATCAGAGTCGGAGGGAGGCTCTGATGAGTTACAAGACTCACAATCTGATGAAGAGCCTGGCCCCTCCAATCTTGCTCAGGATGAGACACAGCTGTGTGGGAAAGATGAGTCACTCTTGAGGGCTCACAGCTGGAAGTCATTAGAGACGCTCATAAACGAAGGCAGTTAACTAGAGCAGGTCAGAGGGAGACAATATGGCAACTCCAAGGGAGGAGAAGGCATTGAGAAGCTTTTTCTTTTACTTTTTCTTAAGTAATCAGCTCCATTAAATGTATACACAACATTAAGACAGTATTTTTAACTAGTTTGATCAAGACAGCATGTTTATAAAACATACATACCAAAGCCGCTATAACAGAACTGAACTCGTATCATGGTATAGGACAATATATATACTATTTACTAGATCAGCAAGGTCAGGCTTCACCAAGCAAGCAACTAAATCCATATAGTCAACACGTGTTCAAACTTCACCAGGGTACCCAGTGTATTTTTTAAGGGAATTGCCCATTTTCTAAGAAATGTAAATGTCCCCAATTTCTGCTCTGCAACTTCATTGAGGTGGGAACTTGCTCCTAGAAGGGTGAGCAAAGAACACTGGAAGTGCCATCCAAGGAATGAATATTATCAGTTGCAGCTGAGTAAGTAGGCAGGCATTATCTATTGGATATATACAGAGGTGGATGATCACCACAATGATAATGACAACAGCATAATTTCATATGGCTAGGAGAAAGCAATAGAACATCGTTCCACCAGAGATACGATCAGCCCCACCTTGTTGGTTTCCGAAAGGCCCTGAAGATACAGTTTTGTCAGTGGGCCTAGGGACCACAAATAGAGATGAAGCTGACCAAATTGTTGGTTTGATTGTATTGCTGCTGTCGTGTGTGTGTGTGTGTGTGTGTGTGTGTGTGTGTGTGTGTTGTTTTATGTTGTGGATTTTGAATGTAGTAAGCCTCCTGAAGTTACCTGTGTGTCAATTGAGAAGCCATATAAATTTGTTTAATAAATAAATACTTGGATCAATTTTGAAGTGTGTTGCACATCAGATTTAGCGCACAAAGTAGAAATTATTCCAAAATGACTGAACAGAATGCATGAAAAAACTGGTAGTTTTTTTGTGATTCAAGAATTTAATTTTTTTTCAGAATTAGTCACTTGAAGTCTGTAGGAAAAAAGGCAAGGCAAAATATGTTAAGTGATGCTTTTATCTGGCAAGTATCCAATATTTCCTTGTATAAAAATATACATTAACATATCTGATCATCATCATATCTATCAAATCTCTGGAAGGATGTAAAATGAAATCCAAATTATCAATTCTGATAAAGAGACCTATGTTGTAAAAATTGAGTGATCATGTGCTTGAATAAACGGAGAAAGGAAATATATGGAAAAACCCACTAATTGGTGCAGTATTATACTTTTAAAGGAAGCCAATAATTTAGTAAAAAAAACAACCATACAGTACAATGCCAACTTCAACTTTATTTATGGAAAACTTGCTGCAGTATTTTCTTTACATCAAAAGGAATTGGATTTCTGTATAAAAAACTCAAAAATAATAAATAATGTTTCTCAAAAAAAGTGTTTTCCATGTCCCTCCAACCTACTCTTTATTAACAAATAATCAAAACATAACATCTGTAACATCTTTGAAGATTAAGAATGTTACACTAAAATAAACATTGAATCCTACATTAAAATAATTAATCATTGAGTCTCTTTATAATTAAAAATAATAGCTGTAACCCAAGTAAAAAAATGTCTGGAATAATATAAACTGTTTTTCTTACTCCAACCTGTAGTGTATAAAACACATCAAAAAAGAGTAAAAAAAGCACGACGTTCAAGTTAAAATTATAATTCACATATCTATAAATTGCCATTCAATATTCAAAAACAGTGTTTCAAACTTAGGATCAGATGTTTAAAAAAACTCAAACATTAAATGCTTTACCTTAATACAGTTAAATGACTCTTACGCTGGTTTATAGCTTAACTGCTCCAATAAGCAAGCTAAGGAAAAGAGTCAAATTGGAAAATACTCTCCTCAAATCACCATTCTGAAATCATGTTTGCATCCACGTGTACATCCACATACACAGAAAAACAAATTCTGGTTTGCTTTACCATGATGATATTCATTTTTTACCTTTTTTAACATAATAGATATTACTTTTACAGTGTGTGCCCTTTGAGACAAGCAATATTGCTTTCTTATGTGGCTTTGGATTTATGCTAAAAGGGTAAACAAGGAAATGATATTTCTACCGAGATAAGGTAGGAAAAGAAATTATGTCTTGAACTTGGCGGGTGAACAAATGTTCTGAGGCAAGAACAGAATATTGAATGGGGAACTGAAACAATCATCCCAACATTCTTTATTTTACCTCAGAACTTTTTACTCTGTTCTAGAGAAATGCCCTTTTTTCAGTGATACTTTATACAGGAGTAATGTTTGCATACTGGTCATTTGTGTGCAAATTATATTAGAAACAAACTATAGTGGAACATAGGATGCACACAATATGTCACTGCTTCATTAGGAGATTAATAATATCCAAACTGATCCATTGACCTGACTTAGTATCTTCAGAAAAAAAACAATACAGTTGAAGTCAAGCACCACTATTCTATATAATTTTGTTTTTCCAATGAAGCAAAAGACAAATACAGAGTACTACAGTTAAGTATGAACAGAAAGGTATGTCATTATATATTAATCACACATTTCAAAATAGCATCAATTAATATTCTATTGTAGTAAAGATTGTCTCTGCACTTTGAAAGTTAGAACCTTATTTTGACAAAGCAACCTAAGAATAACCTGAAGGCACCTTTTAATAATACATTAGTGTTGCCTGCACTATCCACCAGATGTCACTATTTCTAAGGATGTTCTTCAAAATGTTTAAAGTAAATGTACAAATGATTACCATTTTAAAAAAGGTTGGCCAACATGATTCTTTTAAATTATGGAAATTAAATTTATCCCAAGTCAATATATCCTGATTGAGGGCTGTAAATAGTGTGTACAACCTAAAACAACCTTTGTCATATATTTATCTACATTTTTCTATTGCACATCCATTTCTTTGGTTTTGTTATACATACCTTAAACTATTTTTTTGGAGGGGGGGGAATACTGCTAATTAACTGCAAAATGTTCTCCTTACAAATATCTTGCACCTAGAACCCTGGTCAAGTTTTAGTTGACTTTTCAGAATAGAAACTAAAAAGATAGATTGTCAAGTTATTCACAGTGCAATCAGTGTAAGTAAAAATATTGCTCTGTTTCAAATGGAGGAAATTTGCTTCATATTAAAAATAACACCATGAAGATAATTTTTTACTCTTTTCCAAGAGATAAACTGATACCCAAAGGAATTCAAATAGACATTTGGACATTTAATAGATTATAAGAATTCCAAATTAACAATTTAATGTGGATTTTAGATTCATAAAAATCTCTACAATATTTGAGCATCCCAAACTACATATAGGTTTCTGACCATGTGGTACGCATCAAATACATGCAGTTTACTCTCTATTATAAACCCTCTTCAATAATAGCACTGAATATATTAATTTCAGTAATAAACAAAATCCCTCAATTTTCTTTCTCATATATTAACCAACTGCAAACCAATCTCTTTTCAATATTATTTCAACATTTATTTCTTTTCTCCAACTCTTACCTTCATTTCAACTTCAATTATACCTTCTATAGTTCCATTTGCTTGAATGACTTTAATTTAACATTTTGAACGTATTTCTCTTCAATGTATAAAAATAATTTAATTTGCAAAATTATAAAGAAATACTTGAAAATAGGCAGTCAAATCAATTCTGCTATCAAATAGTCTACTAATTCTTATTATAAACTGAGTTTGAATAGCATATCAAAATTTACACCCCCTTTATTTTAACATTAAAGCAGAAAAACTTCATTTCTTACTGCCTTTGAAAACAAACTTCTCTGACAATCACAACTAGAGAAAAAAACATCAAGACATAGCATAAAGAAAAGCCTGCAAATATTGCAATTTGTCTATGCTACTACATGCAAAATATATCAATCTATAGAACTGCCCTTATGGGAACAAATTATTCTTTGTTAAAGGCATTTTGCTAAGGGTACTGGATCTGGCATGTTATTTAAAATTAAGCAATGCACGTCTTCCCTGAGTATTCTTTGGCCCCTTTTTAACTTGGAATCCAAACTCCACGAAGAGCTTCTTCAAGTTTTTCTCTGTATACTGCATAGCGTCTTTTTAAGGTTTGTAGTTGCTCATCTTCTTCTTTGTCCAGAATACGCAGGAAATTCTGTAGTTCAGGAAGGCTAAAGGCTTCCCACTGCAAAAATAAAATTGTGGATTTATCCATAGTATCTAAGAACATTTGACAATTTGGTTTGTAATTTTCATTTTATTGTGCTACTCAAGTAAAAATCAATAAATTTATTTTCCCTCAGGATCCACTATGCCAAAATACAGAAATACATAAACCTACAGATAAAACTGTCCATGATTAAATCCATGATTTCTCACAAATTTCAAAAACATGCAAAAAAAGAGTACAACCCCATGCTTGAAATTTTTTAGTTCCGAAGCAGGAACTATATTGAATTTTTATTTTTTGTAATCCACCCACAGTCAGAGATTGAGTGGGTGGCCATAAATTAGATAGATAGATAGATAGATAGATAGATAGATAGATAGATAGATAGATAGATAGATAGATAGATAGATAGATAGATGATAGGTAGGTAGGTAGGCAGGCAGGCAGGCAGGCAAGTAGGCAGACAGACAGACAGACAGATATGGATGGATGGATGGATGGATGGACGGACAGACAGATTTTTATTGAATGTTAAGGGAAAAAACCACTTTACTAACAATAAAAATAGCTGAGTAAAAGAATCAATTGGCCAGAGAGATGGGGGATTCTTTTGGCAGACATTTTCATCTGTTAGGAATACTTTAGATCAGATTCTTGTACCAAGCATGGCATGACACTGAATCAAAATATTCTTTCTAATGTAAGATTCTATAAAACTCTTATAATCTGCATTATACAAATAGTCCTCAACTTAAACAGTTCTTTTAGTGACCTTTCAGATTAGAAAGGCACTGAAAAAAATGAGTTATGACGGTTTTTCATACTTATGATTGTTGCAACATCCCCATGGTCACGTGATCAAAATTCTGATGCTTAACAACTGACTCATATTTATGATGGTTGCAGTATCCAAGGATCATGTGATCACCTTTTGCAAACATCTGACAAGCAAAGTCAATGGGGAAACCAGATTCACTTAACAACTGTGTCATTAATTTAACAACTGCAGTGATTCGCTTAACGACTGTGGCAGGAAAATCGTAGGAATAAATTTCACTTAACAAATTTCTCACTATGCAACAAAAATCTGGGGCTCAATTGTGATCAAAAGTTGATAACTACCTGTAGTTTAATTGGCTACTTGCTTGCTTTTCTCTATAAACATGAGTACATTCAATAGGTTTGAACTGGAAATTGTAAACCATTAATTATAAATCCTGGCAATGAACTAGGTGATTTCCAAGTACACAACACAAGTATAACTTACCAAAACCTCTCCAGATTCATGCTCACGCAAAACAAAGCTAAGCGTATCTGTTCTTGGGCCGGCCACCAATCGCAAATAGAGAGGGTGTTCTGTTTCCAAGAGCTTGCACGTATAAACTGCAAATAAGATTACAAAAGAATACACACTCAGAATTTCTGTGATCATCAGAACCACAGCTATATCAGCACACAAACAGGAATCTCAGAATTCAAGTATTACTACACTATGTAAATGGAGAACAATGAGCAACAAAGAATAATGAATTGTGCACTAGAACCATTATAATCGTTGGTGATGAATATTCTATCTTTCTACAGTATTCCATTGCTCTCTTTATTATAGTTTCTGAAAGTCCGTAGTCCCACAATACGCTTAATGAACAGTTCTAAGTAAATAAACACTTTACATTCAGAAAACTCAAGAAATATTTTCTAAAAATTATGTGCAATACTGGAAATAAAAAGAATAAAACACAAGATTTATTGTGAAATTTATTGTAAAAAAGAAAAAAGGAGAGATCAAGATTCCTATTTCCTTAGCCTTTTCTTCTCTATACTTCATTGTTTCTCTTTAACAAGGTTAACACATGCTGAAGGCGAAAGAAATCCAAGAGACTGATGCAAAACTAACAGAATATCAAGATAGCCTTGAAAAAGAAATTCAACAGCAATTAAATAAATATCAGCTTAGCCTTGGAAGAGAGCACAAGATGAAAAACAAATTCAAGGCCAACTTGGGGAGTTGATTTCTGGTTGTCGCTGGGTGAAGACCTTGGGGAGGGATTATCCACTCCCCGGGTCTGGAATTTCTTTGCTGGCAAGCCCATTTGGGCTAAAAATCACCCTGGAGGAATGGCTACTGAAGGGTGAATATTTGGGGAATGGGAGCCAGCAGTAGCTGGCTCTCTGAACCCAAAGCAGCCCCTGGAACCAGCAGAAGAAAGGTGGATCACATTTATGCGAGTCGCCATTAACAGCTGATCGTTGGGAACAGAAAACAGCTGATTTTGACAGCAAGCAGCCGGTCCGGTGAGACTCTTTTCTGCTCTTTGTTGAAATGGGACTTTTAATGGAAGTACCTTTCTTTAATGAAAAGCTGGAAGCTTCCCCCCCCCCCGCATAGGCGACGCTTTAAGCAACTCCATTGCTAAGGAAGAAACTTAATTGGGGTTATTTTAAATTTGGCCTCTGGCTGGAGAAATCTAAAAAATTAAAGAGGATTTAGTTGGAAAGCTAACCTAATTATTTTTTCTTTGCTATAACTTTTAAAACTCCATTTTTACTCTGAACTTTCCTTTTTCAAAAAAAAAAAATCCCTTGGGAAAGAAGAATCAGTGCTTCCCTGGTGGTTACAAGGTACCTTTCCCCCCCCCCTTCCCTTTGTTTCTTGTGGATTCAATAGAAACTTGGCTGAATGCCCAGACATTCTTATCTTTGTTTAGAGGTTACTGTGAGAGACTGTTCAGCTCTCTATCTGACGGCCTGGTTAGCTGTATATTTCCCATAACAAAGGAAAATACAAGGGAAGAAGGAAAATCCTGTCTTTGCTTTTTCTGGAATTAAAGTTTGATTTGATTATAATTTGGATTTTACTCACTTTTTCTGACAACTTTTAGTTTTATTTTTTATTTTTACTTTTGGCTGTTTATTTGAAGACTCCTACCTCTTTTTCTGAGAGCTGGTTTTTTTTTATCTCCCCTTTTTACAGATTGACTTATTTTTGGCGTGTTTTTGTTTTTGTTTTTCTTTTTTCTTCCTTGTCTAAAAAAAAAGAAAAAAAATTCTACTCTATTTTTTTCCTCTTTTTTGCCTATTTTTGTTCCCTTTGTGGACGGTTTTTGAGAGTTCTTCTTTTTTAATTACTTCTATTCCCCCAAAGGATTTGGGTTTTTCTTCTTTTTTATATCATGCTTGGCCTTGTCTCCTGGTAATAGGAGGGCCTTGGATTATAAGTGGCCATCAGGCTATCTAGTGGATTATAATTAGCTATCGGGCTTTTTGGTGGATTACAAATAAATACAATAATTAGAAGATGAGTTCTTCAAACTTAGCCAAAGGGGTGATGAAGGGTTCCTCAGCCCCCGCTTCTACTTCGGTGAGTCCAGCTATTCAGAAATCAATTACCACTTTTATACAACAAGACCCTCAATTGACTGACACTCAAGCAATCCTCCAGGCAATTTCTGCTCATTCTAAAAATATTGCTGATTTGAAAAAAGATTTGGAAAAAACTCATGAAGAATTGAAAATCAATCTTCTTAAAATGAATCAAAAAATGGAAAATTTTCAACAGGCGATGCTAGATACTCAAAATAGAATGCAAAAAATAGAAGGCAGTAGTGGTTGATCAGAAAATTGAAGCGTTACAAGAGGAAAATCAGAGATTGGTGCAAGCGAATGTGGGATTAGAGGACAGTTTGGCCGTGATGGAGATGGATAATGCTTCACACTTTCTAAGATTTCAAAATATTGCAGAAGAGAAAGATGAGAACTTGTTGGAGTTGATAAGTGAATTATTAGCGGAATTGCTTGGAATGGAAAAGGATTTAATGAAAAAAGAAATAGATCAGGTTTTTAGAATGAATTTGAGCTATGCGAGAAGAAGTAGAGTTCCCAGGGAGGTTCATGTAAGATTTCTTAAAAGATTTATACGGGATGAGATCTTGAGAGGAACAAGCGATCAACCACTGAAATATAAAGATAAAGAACTTGTAGTTCTTAAACAGATTCCAAAAACATTAAGAAAAGCCCGAAGAGAACACCAATTTTTAACGAGGAAACTTTTTAATAGAGTGAACTTTAGATGGCTGGTCCCAGAGGGATTATTAATCTTCTGGGACTTGAAAAGATATAGGATACTCCATTTCAAGCTGAGGAGTTTTTTAACAACCACAGAGCCTTTTTAGAAAAAGGTGATGCTGAATCCAAGAAAACAGAAGAGACGATGGGTGCAGAAGAACCAAAACAATCGGAGGAGGGAGAATCAAAAAAGACGCAAACAGAGGAAGATGTAAAAGACCAAAAGATCAGAGACAGATCACTTCTCCTAGAAGACTGAGATTTAGATATAACTGAAACTATGGAAGAGATTGGCATTTTTTCAATAAACATAAATGGTCTTAACTGCCCATCAAAAAGGAGTAAAATATTTAACAGACTACAAAAATTGAAAATGGATATAATCTGTCTTCAGGAGACACATATCAAAAGACAGCATTCAAAAATTTTAGAACAACCAAACATAGGCAAACATTATTTTTCTTTAGCACAGCAAAAGAAAAGAGGAATAGCATTTTATATAAAAGAAAAGATGAATCCAAAACAAATTTATCTTGATGAAGAAGGGCGAATACTAATGGTGGAAATTACATGGGATCAAAAACAAATTTTGATGGTCGCAATATTGTTTCTCCCAATGACAAACAAGATCAGTTTTTCCAGCAATTATATGATAAATTAGTGGAGTTAAATTATCAAAATCTTTGCATACTTGATGACTTTAATGTAATAGTTGACGCAATACGGGATTATAAAAGCTATAAACAAGGGGGAAAAAGGGGAAATACCCTACCTAAGTCTTTTTTAAAGATGAAAGATGACTTGTGTATACAAGACATATGGAGAGAAATGAATCCAGAGAAAAGACAATATACATTTTATTCAAATAGGCATAAATCCTGGTCAAGAATTGATATGATATGGACTTCATATGATTTAAAGACCATGATATGAGAGGTGGAAATTGAACTCAATATTTGGGCTGATCATAATCCAATTAAAATGACTTTGAAAGGAACTAGGAAAAAATTAAGATGGTCATTAAAGAAATCAATATTAAAAGAAAAAGAATTTTTACAATTGGCAACAAAAGAAATGGAAATCTTTTTTCAAATAAATAAAAAAGAAACTTCAATTCAAAATCTTTGGGACAATGCGAAAGCGTATTTTAGACGCTTGGCTATAACTTACCTTGCTAAAAAGAATAAAGAAAAGAGACAAACACAATTTAACTTGAAAGGACAATTTAGGAATTTAGAACTTGAGTTACAAAATGATCCACAAAAGAAGAAGCTGAAGACACAAATGGAATTAATAAAACACAAATTAAATTTATTGGAGATGGAGACAAGGGCACAACAGGTAAAATATTCAAAACACAATTTCTTTGAAAATGCTAATAAACCAGGAAGATGGCTTGCATATAGACTGAAAAAAGAAAGAGAAAAAAAATTGATAAGTAATTTGCAAGACTCAAAAGACGAAATACATTGTCATAATGACGCATTGAAAAAAATTGCTAAAACGTACTATGAGACACTTTATAAGGCGGAGGTGGTTTCCAAGGAGATAATACAGGAATACCTAAGAAAAACAAACCTTCCAAAAATACCAGAGAACGTGCAACATACGTTAGACAAGAAAATAACAATGATGGAAATTACTGAGGCTATAAAAAGACCAAAAAAAGATAAAACTCCAGGACCTGATGGTTTACCAGTGGAATTTTATGTAGCTTTACAAGATATAATAAGCTCGATACTGAAAGATCTTTGTAATGAAACTTTTTTGGGGGATGAAAATACCAAAATCATGGACAGAAGCTAACATTTCTCTGATTTCCAAAGATGATACTGATCTCACATATTAAAAATTATAGGCCAATATCACTATTAAATGTGGACTACAAAATATTTACAGCAATAATAGCGGAAAGAATGAAGAAATTGTTGAATGAATTTATTCATTCAGATCAAAATGGCTTTCTGCCTAAAAGACAGATAAAGAATAACTTAAGAATTATTTTAAATGTGTTAGAATACTATGAAAAACATCCGGGGAAATAAATGGCATTGATATTTTTGGATGCACAAAAAGCTTTTGATAATCTTAACTGGCAATTTATGTTTCATCAATTGCGAGTGATAGATTTCGGTGAAAATTTTATAAATGCAATTCAAGCAATCTACAATAAACAATCAGCAAAGATACTTATAAATGGAGACTATACAGATAATTTTGAGATTAGGAAAGGTACAAGACAGGGCATCTTAAGAAGACAGAACTCTTGGAATATTTCTTCCAACAGGCATCTTTATTAAGAGAAAATGGTTGAGGCATTCTAGACAGGACTTGGGGGCCAGGACTTGGTTCAAGGTTTTAAGGGGCTCCCAGCAACCCCACCCCACCCTACCATCCTTCCAGTGACAATCCTATGTAGAATCCTGGAATTCTACATAGAACAGACACCACTAGATAAAATATTTTTGAAAACAGATGAAAATCTGATTAAGAAACTTTATAAATTCCTGCTAAATTGGAAGATGGAAGAACAAGTGAAAGAAACAATAGTGTGGGCAAAGAATTTTGATTATTCTATAGATTTAGAAGATTGGCAAAAACTATGGGACCGAAATATTAAATTTACTAAAGCAGCTGCATATATGGGAAACTTATATAAAATGTTTTATAGATGGCACATGACACCAGTTAGATTAGAGAAAATGTTTAAAAATGTATCAAATATGTGTTGGAAATGTAAACAACAACCAGGCACTTATTACCATCTCTGGTGGATATGTCCTAATGCTAAAAAGTTTTGGTTTAAGATTCACATGTGGCTAGAAAAGATGATTAAAATACAGATAGAATTTAAACCAGAATTCTGTTTGTTAGGAATATTAGGTTTGAATTATGGAAAAGAGAATGAGTATTTAATATTGCATTTGTTGACAGCCACAAGAATAATATTTGCCCAATTTTGGAAAAATGAAAATTTACTATCTGACCAGATTATAATAACAAAAATACTCGAATGTGCAGAAATTGATAGATTGACTTTAGAAATGAAAGACAAAGAAGACACAATTTATTTTAAAACATGGGGAAATTTTTATTATTGGTTAGAAACATGTTAGAATGAGAAAAGGTTATGAAATTTAAAGAGATAATTGATAATTTGTATTTATATTCCATGATTATTTGTATGAACTTGTTCTTATTTCTTCTTTTTCTTCTTTCTCTTTGTATATTTGTGATCTTAAACAATATGGTAAATTATAGTTAATATGTAATATATTATTATTTTAAAGTTATTATAGTTAATTAATTCTAAGCATTGTTAAGTAGCGAAATGAATGAGAGCTATTGACTAATTTGTTATTTACATGATTATATTGAAAGTTATTTAATAATAGAGTAATTATTAAGATTTAATATATAAGCCCGGACTGGTAGACTTGCTGAAGCGATGTTGTTTTGTGGGATTAATCCCACTTTTGTGTTACCCCTTTCCCCTGGTCTAACCTTTTTGTATATTTCCCTTTGTCTTATCCTTTTTGACCCTATCGCTTTATTACCTTTATAAAACTCAATAAAAATATTTATAAAAATAAAAAAATAAAAAAAGAAGGCCCCAACTTGATTCTCTTTCATGTAAGGAGGAGAGAAAGTATTTGCTATGTCCTTGAACAATAAAGTGTATTTCCTGATCCGGTCTCCTTCAAAAGGCTGACAGCAATCCAGATTACTCTTAGAAAAGTCACCTCACCTTTTTTATGAGGCCACTATTCCTCCCATAGAAAAAAGCTAGCTGTCAGGCAGATTCTGCCTTTTGGCAGCTACAGATAAAATGGCTAGTCAGAATATCAGCAAATAGCCCGAGCCTGCAAAGATGAAGTGAAGAAAGCCAAGGCTCAAAATGAACTAAGGCTTGCGACCAAAGTCAAAAATAACAAAAAAAGCTTCTTTCAACATGTAAAAAAACAAGAAAAAAGTGAAGGAAATGATTGGTCCATTAGTGGGTGGAAGTGGCAAGAAGGTGACAAGCAACAGGGAGAAAGCAGAACTATTTAACTCATTTTTTGCATCTGTCTTTACACAAAGGGAAAAAACAGACCAACCTATCAAAAATAGTGCCATAAAAAAAAAAACAGAAACACAAGTTAAGATAGGCAAGAAAATGGTTAGGGAGCACCTGTCCAGCCTAGATGAGTTCAAATCGGCAGGACCAGATGGATTACACCCCAGAGTTCTCAAGGAACTGGCAGATGTAATATCGGAGCCACTGAACTATATTTTTCAAAGATCCTGGAACACAGGGGAACTACCAGAGGACTGGAAAAGAGATGATGTAGTTCCCATCCTCAAAAAAGGAAAAAAAATGGATCCAGGGAATTACAGACCTATCAGCCTGACCTCAATACCTGGGAAGATCCTGGAAAAGATAATCAAACACCGAATCAACGAACACCTAGAGGCAAACAAAGTCAGTACTAAAAGCCAACATGGGTTTGTCAAAAATAGATCATGCCAGACAAATCTTATTGCATTCTTTGACCAAGTGACAAAATTAGTGGATCAGAGGAATGCTGTGGACATAATTTACTTGGACTTCAGTAAGGCATTTGATAAAGGAGATCACAACCTACTACTTGACAAGATAGAAAAATGTGGGGTAGACAGAACCACCACCAGATGGATCCGTAGCTGGCTGACGGCCGTACTCAGCGAGTGGTCCTCAATGGAACTGCATCTATATGGAGGGAAGTGTGTAGTGGGGTGCCCCAGGGCTCTGTTCTGGGCCCAGTACTCTTCAACATCTTCATCAATGACTTGGATGAAGGGATAGATGGGGAACTCATCAAATTTGCAGACGACACCAAGCTGGCAGGAATAGCCAACACTCCAGAAGACAGGCTTCAAATACAGAAGGATCTGGACAGACTTGAACACTGGGCACTAACTAACAAAATGAAATTCAATGGTGAAAAAAGCAAGGTTCTACATTTAGGCAAGAAAAACCAAATGCACAAGTACAGCATAGGTTGCACCATGCTCAATAGTAGTAACTGTGAGAGGGACCTCGGAGTCCTAGTAGACAATCACTTAAATATGAGCCAGCAGTGTGCTGCAGCTGCCAAAAAGGCCAACACAGTGCTAGGCTGCATTAACAGAGGGATAGAATCAAGATCACGGGACGTATTAATACCACTCTTCAATGCCTTGGTAAGGCCACACTTGGAATACTGCATCCAGTTTTGGTCACCACGATGTAAAAAAGATGTTGAGACTCTAGAAAGAGTACAGAGAAGAGAAACAAAGATGATTAGGGGACTGGAGGCTAAAACATATAAGGAACGGTTGCTAGAATTGGGTATGTCTAGTTTAACGAAGAGAAGGACAAGGGGGACATGATAGCAGTATTCCAATATCTCAGGGGCTGCCATAAAGAAGAGGGAATTAAGCTATTTTCCAAAGCACCTGAAGGCAGGACAAGAAGCAACGGGTGGAAACTAATCAAGGAGAGAAGCAACCTAGAACTAAGGAGAAACTTCCTGACAGTGAGAACAATTAATCAGTGGAACAGATTGCCTCCAGAAGCAGTAAATGCTCCAACACTGGAAGTTTTTAAGAAGAGACTGGACAGCCATTTGTCTGAAATGGTGTAGGGTTTCCTGCCCGAGCAGGGGGTTGGACTAGATGACCTCCAAGGTCCCTTCCAACTTTACTATTATTATTATTATAGTACTCCACATAAATATTCCTGACAATAAACATAAAATTGCTTTGATAAAACTATCTTGCAAGATCCTTAATGGAGTTTTTTTCTTCAGCTCTTCTTCTGATAGGTCTCCCTCTTTTTCTATCAGATTCTCTGGTGTCTTGGGAACCTGTTCACAGCACCAGCCAAAGATAAAGTTACCGTAAATGCCGGCGTATAAGGCAACTTCCGCGAGCGCTGAAATCGGCGCCAAAGACGGGGGTCGTCTTATACGCCGAGTCGTCTTATACACCGGAAATACTGGTAGTTTCCGGCGTATAAGACGACGTTCTAGGAATGCAGCTTGGCTATAAAGACGAGGGTCGTCTTATACACCGGGTCGCCTTGTACGCCGGCATTTACGGTACTTGAACTTGTTTTACTGACAACATAAGCCCCAGTAACCACTTCTGAACATGTCAGAAAATATACAAGTGAGTGAGTGAAAAGTCAATATTAGTTGGACTATCAGATAGCTAGGTATTGCCAGGTTTTCCAATACAAGGAAAATGTAAACTCACTTAGAATGTAAAATGCTAATTAGCAATCAATAGCTAAATCTCATAATTCAAAAGTGCTACAAGAAAAAAAAACATGCACTCTGAAATTAGAGTTCCCAAATCATGGTTTATAAAGCTATTTATATTAGACTTCACAAACCACAATCAAGGCCATTAATCAGCCTCACAATGACGGTAGGAACTTTTGAATAGAGTACTAAGCTTATGAAAGAAACTAACAAAAGCAAACAAGCAACCCTGAAGTGAGATTTATTTGCTACAGGCTTGGAAATTGAAACCATGATTATTATGGCTACACATAAACAATGACTCAGCATGGATTAAATCAGTTATTCTGAAGAACAAGTAATATCTTTATGAAGCCAAGATAAAATTACTGACTTTATCCCAAATGTACTCTCCTTAAACTAGCAAACATTAAATTGACATCACCTAATTCGACCAAACTATTAATAGCTTTTAGAACAAGTATCAAATCAAATTTGTTCAAAATTCAATTCATTGTGACACTAATACCCCTAATTTCCTGGTTCACACAAGTATGTAAGATTCTGCATGCTGGCTGTAGAACCAAATAAAACATTAAAGTTGTTCAAAGATTCTATTCAGCTGAAATTTATCATACATATGCATGAAAGAGTTCAAAAAGGGAAATTTAATTTCTGCTATTTTAATAGTTTTTGATATTTTATTAGAAATATGATCAGTTTGTCAAATAAATTTATTTTCCAACATACAATGTCTCAGAAATAATTCTACTATGTCAAAGTCATAAAAGAACAAAATTAGCATCAAAATCTTTTTCTTTAATCAACTTACAACTCAGAAAAAATCTATTTGCATACCTTGATCTTCCTTATGACATTGTTTATAAAGTGCAAACTTGGCAGGATTATCAGCCACCAGAAACTTTTTGAGCAAGGCCTCAATAACTTCACGGACTGTGTTAGTACTGCTGATATGAAGAGTGTTCATATAGCCATTAGGCAAATAAAAAGTTGTTTCATTGCTGTTGAGATGCTTCCCTACATTCACAGAAGACTGCAGAGTGATAGGTCTGTAAAGTTCTATCTGAACTTTTATGAAACCAGTGTATATTCCGCTTGCGTTCTATAAGTAAAACATACACATGCATATAACAATGAAATCATATTCATGTGTTCTATAACAAAATGGCGAACAGATACATTTTCATGTACATGCTTTAGATGGCACAGGGGAAAAGAAATAAAAACTCAGCAAATAATCAGATTGCTATTCCCCCCAATACTTAGGTAAGTACAGATTGTTTACCAGTACAGGTAATAATGCTCAGTTAACAGTAGAAACTGGAAGTGTCAGAATTTCAATTGCAAAGCAGTGCAGTCGCATGACATTGTGCTTTACTATCATGTTGCTTAGCAATAGAAATTTTGACACTTCCAGTTGCCACTGTTAATCACCATTATTAAGCACAATGTCTTGTGACCACCATTTATGATATCCTGCTGACTTCCTTATTGACTTGCTTGTCAGAAACTGGCAGTGAAGATTGCAAATGGTGATCAAATGACTGCAGGATACTAAAAGAACATAATTGCAAGCTGGATATTGAGAACCCATGTTGTGATCACATAACTGTGGGGATCTATGATAGCTGGTTTGAGAACTGGCCATAAGTAGCACTTAGCAGCAATAACATTTAGACTTATATACCACTTCATAGTGCTTTACAGCCCTCTCTAAGTGGTACCGCTCATTCAGCACCATTAAGTTGAAAGGTTGCTGAACAAGCAAACCGCCATTTATAATTGCAATTGAACAGTCTTCTAGGCATTTGCACATATGAGATTTCTGAGCAGATATCATCAGAACATTCTAAATTTGTTCTGCACTTTCATAGGCCCTTAAGAGTCCTTCCCACTGCACATTGTAACCATGAAGTCACCGTAATCACTCACAGGTAAACATCTAAATGTCTGCATGAGGAATGTAGGGAGAATCATATGAATACATGAAGAATCCAAGTCCACAGTTACAAATAAGCAACCTAAATTTATGTTGAGGTCTCTGTGCACCATGCATAAAGATAACTAGCAATCTATGCTTACCTGAGATAGAAAAGAACAATCAATGCAACCAAATCAAAATCAACAGCTAGGACTAGGTTGTTGTATAATGTATGCCAGAAAAATGACTTTAAAAGCTGCAGTTAATGGTACCCTTATCCAAATTGAATGATCTTATGCAAGATGTGGAATAAGTCTGGTTAACATAACCAGGGGACTGTGAGTTTTAATTCTACCTTAGGGATGAAAGCAAACTGCGTGATTTTGGGCCGATCACCAGGAGACTGAGTTCTAACACTGCTTTATGCATGAAAGCCAGCTGGGTGACTCTGGGTCAATCACTCTCTTTACCCAACCCACCTCACAGGGTTTTGTTGTGGGGAAAATAGGAAGAGGAAGGAGTTTGAATTACTTATAAAATAATAAAGGCACAATAAAAATGTAACAATTAAACTGATTATTCTTTGGTACTGATCAGGTCTCGCAGCCACAATAACTGCTATAGTGCATGACCTCACAGAAAGTCTTTGACAAAAGTAGAGTAATTGCATTATGAATGATGTTATAATTTATTAAACACTCCTTGCTCAAACACACAAGACACAGAGGGCATCTGTCAGATGGTGGATAGTTATTGCTGGACTTGTATATTCAAATCATAAGAAAGTTAGGATGTACAATGCACAAACAATTCACAAAAGGCAAACAGTAAACACAATAACAAAAAAGAGCAATAATACAATAAAGTTTAATACTATAAAAACCACAGTTCAGCAAGCACCAGCATTTCAAATGGAAAAAGAACATGTTTTCTTAATATTCACCTTAATGTGACTAAATTGCAATCACAAAAATCAGAGATTTATATTTCTAAATCCTTTAAGCATGCACAGTGAGAAGGAACATTCAGAGCCACAAAATGTAGCTCAGTATTTGTATACTTCAGTTGTGACTGAATAAGTACAGTAAACTGTAATACACAGAGACCACATGAACAACAGTCCCACATTTGCTTTTTCTCCAGTGCATCCCATCTTCCTTTGCCTGTCTGTGTCTGACAAGCTATAATCATGTCTAGTAATATGAATTCTTGCAAAGCGAGGTGAATGCTAAGAAATATTTTATGCAATATATAATTTACTTGCCATAATTTATAGCATTGATACTCACATCTAGTACTGACTTCAGGAAGGCAAGACTAACACTTCTGTCCCAAACAGATATGCTACCTAATCATACTAAACACTGTATATAAAAAGCTTACCAATGTCATCTTTAGCTTGTCAGTAACATCTGAATTGTATATTTGGACTTTTTCCTTGATTGTTTCCTTGGTGAGGTAATTATGAGTTTCTCTCTCCTTCTGAACATCCTAGAACAAAATAGGTTGAAAATTTCAAAGATATTAAAAGATTAGTTCTACTACAATTAAAAAGTAAAACCATGAACTGGGGATCTATAAATAATATGTATGATTGGTAGTGCACAGCAACCTTTTTTAAAAAATAAGAGTGATTGAACGCTATATAGTAAAATGACAGCATTATATCCTGCAAAAATTTATCATAGAATTAGCCTCTTTTTCCCTTTTCCTTAATGGCTTTTGACAGAAAAGGAAGTTACACATATTTGCTGTCTAAAACCTAAAAAATATGGTTTTCGATGAAAAAATGAGTATCTGTGTATTACGACAAGGCAGAAGAGAAATTCTACTCATGGTTCCACTTACTTGGCTCAAATATTCCCAATCAATACATTCTTCTTTTTTTTATATAAATATTTTATTAATTTTCTAATTTTACAATCATAAGTACTTAAGCAACTTGTTGTATGGGTTAGGGCTAGGGTCAATAAATTCTAATATTACAGGAATCTAATTCATAAAAAGAATACATTCGAGACAGTTTACCAATTTCTATGCAAAATGAACCCAATAAATACTTTTATCAAATGTTGTACTGGCATATCTCATTAAAGCTACTTAAGGCTTGAACATACATTTATGTCTCTCTTTGAAGCATTTAAAATCAATGATATAACAAATAGCACTGAAAATTCAGAACTGTTGTAAACATACTGATTCATTAGCAAGATTCAAGATATTATTGGTTTGTCTAAAAAGTAATATGTACATAGAATTTCAAGGATACCAAACCTCCTAGCCATAACTTAGAGTTAATGAACAAGAGGGAAAGCACATTCACAAGATTATATATAATTGATTTAGTAACTGTATCTGGGGTTAAAAAAATACTTTTGAATCTGTTAGCCTTGAAGTGGAATGAACTTAAATTTTTGAAAAGCACACAAACATATATAATATTTATATTAAAACAGACATTACCCTTATCAGCAAACACCTCTGTTTTTGTATAAACTAGTTCTACAACATGATTAATAAACTGTGACCGTTCTTTCATTTGCAACCTATAGTGGAAGTTCCTGCTACAGAAAGCTAAAATGTAAAAGAAAACCAAAAATACAAAATAATTGTGTGTGTTTGAGTAAGTGAACAAGAGAAAACCTAATATGTACTTGTGATAGTAAAGCTGAACAAGTTTATCATGATCTAATTGCAAAACTACTGGTTTTGCCATACCCTATATGGCAGTGCTTTAACTGTTGGCATGCAACCCATTTCTAAATAGAGTTGGTTGTTTAAACTTTGAAGGCTAAATTGCAAGAGTGGCATTTAGATTTCTTATACAAGAATTACAGCATGAGGAACACTAGATTACCTATCCCATTACAATTAAATAAGATTACTATTTTTCTATAGTACAACTTCTTTATCTCATTCTAACAGATTTTAATATGCTGATCAAAATAGCATAAAGCTTAATTTCTAAGTTATTGCACACATCTTTTTGACTATTGTCCTACATATTTTGCACTGAAGGATAAAGTCTTTTCCTTTGACCAATCTGGCCAAGGAGCTGAAAGTCTGGTTTTGTATCTTTTCTTTTTGCCAAGAAGGCATATAGGGAAGTTGGAGAAAGCCTTAGTCATCTAGCAAATAAACAATGCTTTTTTAGTTTCTATATTTTTTATTAATTTTTTTGCACAAACATAAGTCACAATAGTTGGTAAACAGTGTGATGTCTGGGTTACATTTGTAAAAACAATCCTTAACAATTAATTTCTATAGTCTGTATTTCATATATTAATTTTGTTTATTTTCCTCTTTCCCTGCATCCTTTTTTGCAAACATTATATTAATATAATTCTTATTGTTTTAATAAGTGACAATTTGGTATATATTTTTTCCAATATTCCTAAAAAATAATCATATTAACGCATTCTTTTCTTTCCATTCATTTGAATTGCCTTATCATCAATCCTGTTACAGTCCATATTTTAGTTTATTTCTCCCACCAAATTCTAAGTAGTTTTTACTGGTGACAGTTAGTTACATTTACATTGACAAAGTTGATTCTATTTTTTCCATATAAGCCATCTCGCATTTTTATGTTTCTTAAGTTTTAAATATATTGGTAAAAAAAAGAGGGGAAAAGAGAAAGAATGAAGAAAAATAAAATAAAAAAGTAAAATAAAATAAAAAATAAAAGAGAATAGAAGAAAGCAGTAATAACAGAACAGAGGAAATAACATAGTACTTAAAATATATATCCCTCCTGGCTTGGTAGTATTTATTTTCTCAAATTTCTTATTCTTTTTAATCATAGTTAAGAATATATTTAATCTTTAAACATTCTATTTAATAAATCTAATCATCTAATCCCTTAACTCTAATTCAAAACATTTTATATATATTATATATACTTTTCTTGAGTTCAGTCACCTTTAAATATCTAAAACATTTCATCTTTCTTAAAAGTATTCCAATATTCCTACACAATCATCATCATGTTAATACATTTATTTTCTTTAAACAAGTAAAAAGGAGGAGAGGAAAGCAGTAATAACAAAACATGAGAAGTAATATAATACTTAGAATATATATCCCTCCTAGATTATTAGTATTTATTTTCTCAAATTTCTTATTCTTTTTAATCATAGTTAAGAATATATTTAATCTTTAGACATTCTATTCAAATAAATCTAATCATCTAATCCCTTAACTCTAATTCACTTATATATATATATGTACTTTTCTTGAATTCAGTCACGTTTAAGTATCTAAAGCATTTCATCCCTCTTAAAATGGTTTGTTACAAATTTTTTCTATTTCTTTAACCATATTCAAACACACGTTTCTTTTTTAAATATTCTCTCTGATATGTCCCATCATTTTTTTTCCCTTAATCTCTTTTCTTTGCCCAGAATTCTTCTTGATCAATATACTTTGCTGGATCCAAAGGTTTTCCCATACGATCATAGGCGTTCCTGTAGGTGTGGAAAGTAAATCAACATCTCTGTCCTGAGCACTTGTACCCTTCTTTCCATTAAAATCCCTTCTGTTGTCATCCAATTTGTTTTGTGATGTTGAAATATAAGTTGACTTTCCTTCCACTTGAATTAAATCATAGTTTTCTTTTTTGTAAAAGTCCATCTTTAAGTCCTTTCCCTCTGATTTATATTCCATCAACTCTGCTGTATTCTCCTGAGGATTTCTTTGAAGTAAGCTTAAATTGGAGATAAGTTGACTTATATTTGCAAAGTTGTTTTGTATTTCTTTGTGGTTTGAAATCATTGTCTTTTGAATGGATTGCAGCATATCATATATTTCCTCTTGTAAAATATCCATTGTTTCTGTAAATATTGCTTTCTCTAAGCAGCTATATTTACTAAGATTTTAAAAGCCACAGTCAAAAGCTTTATAGCTCCTCATCCACCAGTAGATGTCAGTATTGGATCATTTTTCAGTTTTCTTTTTCTCCTTAAAGAGTTAAATTCGCTGCTTCCAATGACCAAAAAAGGGGGGAAAATCCCTCCCCTTTTTTCACTCTTGGAGGTATTTTTGCTTCTTGGGAGTTCTTTTTTTTTTCCAGGAAAATAAGTAGGATAGAGAAAAAAATTTCTTACCCAGCTTCAAAGACACTGTTTACAATCAGTTTAAACAGAGCTTCTTGACTTCCATAGCTTACAGCTATGACTAGACAAAGAGTTAGCTAGCCTTTCTTCTGTTGGTTTCTGGGAGGCTTCTCCTGGACCGATCCGAGAGACCGCCGTCTCTCCTAGGTCCCTGGAAGTACCTTTCTTCAGTGCCACCTCTCCGGGGCGGCTTCTGGCCCATTTAGAGTCCCCAAACAAGAAGAAACTCAGCTGAAGAGCTCGGCATCCCAAGTCTCCCAGCCGATGACGCTGCTGGCCGGAACAGGAAGCAACAATGCTATCCTTTAAACTAAACTGTTCAAGATGAATGAAACACAGATTAGGTTCATTATTTTCCTAAGTTCTACAGGTTCTCCTCAACATATGACCACAATTGAGCATGGAATTATGGTCATAAGTTTTTGTGGATTTTAAGTGAGGCACTCATATGATCACCTCACTCAAAGTTCATAAACCCAGCTCACTCCATTGCAGTCATTAAGCAACTGTACAGGTCATTAAGAGCAGCACAGGATGCTTAAGGAGGTGGGAGAGGCCCTGGGAGACTTGTAGCAGACCAGGCCCACACTGTGGCTGGCACACCCCCCCAGCTCACATATGGCTTGTGCCACACCTCTCAGGGCCTTCCCCTCAAGTCACTCCTTGCATAGCTTCCCTGCAGGCCTTGATCCTCTTCCCTGCCCCATCACACCTTGCTCCACTTGCCTCTTCCAAAGATTGCTTTTCAAAAAAGCACCCAGTCGGTGCAATGCGCAACCATCCTGCAAAGGTAACCCACACTATTCTGTAGGTAGGCACCATTCACGTGCAGAAAACTGAACTCTTCTAAGAAATTGCAAGAATGGTGGCTGCTTCCAGAATGATGCAAGACAGTTTCTATAAAAGCCTGCATAATGTGACAATGGCTGGGTGCTAATTTGGAAATTTAGTCTTCAGAAGAGTTAACTAGAGCAAGGCATGACGGAGTAGGGAGAGGCCCAAGATTGTAGGACCTAGCAGGATGGGAAGCATGTCCAGGAAGTAGGCACAAGAAACCCAGTGGGGTAGGAGGGATGAGCAAAATATGCAGGGAAGCAATTGTAGCATCCCTGAGATCAGCTGTAAGTGCAGGTACATTGCCAGGCACCCGAATTGCAACTACAGAACCATGGGAGCACTTTACCTCATGCTATACCCAATACTTCGGATATAGATCTTAAATCCCTTCATGTAGCACTGCTGTAATTCTGAATGGTTGCTGAACAAAAGGTCTTAAGTTGAAAACTACCTGTAATATTATTAATTATTTTGGCTTACTGCCACAACACAATGGTTTAAACAAATCATGTCTTAGGACTATAAGGGAGCCCGTAATAC